TCTTTTCGCAGTCTTCCATCTTCTTGTCCTCCTGTAATTCCATACTTTTCTCGTGTTCTCCCTCTTCCTCTTCTGTTTTCTCAGTCTTTTCGCAGTCTTCCATCTTCTTGTCCTCCTGTAATTCCATACTTTTCTCGTGTTCTCCCTCTTCCTCACTGTCACTCAAAGCCAGATCTGCCATCAAAGTGGCTGTTCCTTCAGTCTTGCTCTCCTTTTCTTGTCTCTTCGTTGCTTCATCCTTGCCTGCACTTTTTCTAGTTGCTTCCTCGTCACTGCTGTCACTGCTCTCGCTCACAAATTCCTTTGACTTTGGTGTCAAATAGCATGCTCTCTCTTTGGTTTTCTGGACATTTTCCTTTATTTTGATGGGTTTTGGTTGCGTCTGGACCCTCTTCCCTCGACTTTGCTTGGTTTCTACCATCACTTTTGGGGTCTCTATGACTTGTATCTTGATTCCTTTTCTTGCACTCATTATCTTCCTTTTTAAGTTCTGCACAGCTAATTTTGGTTTATTCTGCATTGCTTCTAACTTCACTTCTTTTACTTGCTTACTGTCGTCCTTAGCTTTATCCTCCTGCATTTTCTTACTCACTCTTTTAATGATGGCTTGCAGTTCTTCGGGTGTCTTTTGCTTTTGCTTCGTTTTCTCCGCTGGAACCACTGTTAGTTGGTAAATTTTCCTTTCTTGTTCTATTCTTGGTACTGCTACTCGTAGTCCTTGGAAAGTTGACTTCTTTTCCGGTATTTCTTCCATTTTTCGCACTCTTAACACTCTTTTCACACTTTTCACAATTTTTCACTTCAGTCAGGTATCCAATGTGGAGTTTTGGTATTCCCTTCAACAATGCTCACCGCCTTCCGTCGTTTGAACTTGGCGCTGTGTTGCCAAGTTGCCTATCGAGTATGGAAGTGGAAGTAAGCCTTTTCGATTATGATCGAGATATCGATCTTACTTCAAGATGGCCGCCTTGCTTATTAGCAGACGTAAGTTAACCAAGCGCTGCAGATGTATTCATCTTCCTTGGCTTCTCCTTTTGGACATTTAGCTAGTCTGTCCACATGGACTATTATGTTTTTCTTACGCCCATCCATACTCTGGATGCGCGCGTTACAATCATTGATAAGATCCAGTATCAGGTATGGACCTTCCCATCTTGTGATTAGCTTTGTCGAGATACCCTTAACCCTTCTGGGATAGTACAGGAAAACCTGGTCTCCTTCCTTAAATGGTACTAGTGCTGCTGTTCTGTCGTAATATTCCTTCATTCTTTTTGCAGCCTTCTTGCTCATGTGTGCCACTAATTTGTGGATGTCTTGCAATGTTTTCCTGACCCAAAAAGGATATTGTTTGAACATGTCCTCTTCCTTTGGAGGTTCACCCCTGGCCATGTCGAGTGGTGTTCTCATGGTAGCTCCAAACATTACCTCATATGGGCTGAATTTGTGAGATGTGTGTGGTAGACTTCTGTATGCTTGTGCTATAAAAGGTAAGTACTTTGGCCACTCTTGTCTGTCATTCTCTATCAGAATCATTAGTTGTTGTTTGAGTGTTTTAATCCATCTCTCTGCCTTTCCATTTGTTGCAGGGTGAAATGCCGAAGTTCTATATTTCCTTATGTGGTACAACTCCATTATCTCCTGGAATAGTAGCGAGTCGAATGCTTTGCCCTGGTCTGTTAACAATGCATGCGGGGCTCCAAATATGGAGAATACATGCGTTATCAGAGCTTGTGCTATTTCATCCGCTGTTTGTTTGAACAATGGAACTATTACAGGCCAACCTGAAAATGCTTCCACTGCTACTAATATGTACTCGTGTCCTTCTTTGCTTCTAGGATTGATTGGTCAACATATATCCACATGCCACCTTCCGTGTAACATTCCTTCCTGGAATAATTTAAGCGGTGCTTTAGTCATTCTGTGTGGACCTTTGAACTTGGCAC